GGGCATGATATCCCACAAATCCTCAAGTACTTGCTGCACTTCCTAAGAAAGAAGTCGTCTTGGTATTGGATCCGCTCTTCTATTAGCATGAACATGAATTAGATTCTATTCATCTTCTTTATTCTTAAGAGATGGGAGGGAATTGTTGGGTTTCATGGGTCTCAGAACCGGCCCTTTCTCCATGTTGTTATCAGACTGGAAAGGCTTTAGCACGATCCCACGCACTCTCACATGATATCTATCAATAGTCTCTTTCACGAGTACACACTTGTCACTTTAATGCACATCAAGACCGATTGGCTATCTGTTGTCGCGTTTAGTGTACATTCGAGAGGAGGGAAGTGTACATTGCTCATTGCAAGGGTCTTTCAAAGCCTTGAAAGAACTAGAAAGAGGAGAAGCTCGGTCGTAGCAGGAGGTAAGAACTCCTTCTGTGTCTCGTCTCTTTCTCCTAATGCCAATATAGAGTATCTAGGGACAACTCCAAGCTTGATAGCTGCCAATTTCTTTTGTATAATACTAATCGATAGGGTCTTATTGGTAAGTGCTACAAGATCTCGTGCATTGTAACCCATGGTTATGGACCCGAATCCGAGTAACTGGCCGAGCTGCTAAAGTAGTGATGAATCCCGTCCGTAAAATGGGTCCTATAGATTTGGACCAATAGGGAAATCCCAATTCATTGGGCCGAACTGAGGTTTATTAGTTTTTAAGTAAGTACGTAATTCAACGAGAAATTTTCTTACCTGTCCAATTTCTAATGAATTGAGACACTTGAGGAATCTTTTCCATTCTTCGGTTATGTCAAAATTGTCTTTCGGAGAGATGGCTGAGAACAAAAATTCGTTTATTTGCGTCAAGGTTTCGAGGGGCTCATTGTAGCTAAAAATGATGTCTTATTTTTTTTTTAAAAAAAAAATTTCAGCTACGCTGAGTGAAGTCTCTGTATAGCCCAGAGTTTAAACTTCAATTCGCGTTTTTCCCTTTTCTCTCCGCACAGCCGGGAGTTTCACATCTCAATTATTCACGTTTTCTCCTTTCCTTTCCATTTCTTCCGACCCCATTTCCATTTCCCTTCTCATCCAAGAGTCCCTTGGAGTTTCTGATTTATTATGTTTTATTGATGGAAAACAAAACGTGATTTCACTAATCGTAAGAAACTTCAGGACGATTTTTTATTTCTTTTAAATTAATTAATTAATTTCTATTTTCATACCATTTCTTCTTCCCCTTCTTCCGATTGGGAAAAAACACACATAGAGGTGTCAATCAGGGTGGTTCGGACCGGGTTGGCTTGCCAACATATGAGCCCGGTAACGGCGCACCAGAAAAAAGTCCGCCCACTATGGTTTCGGGCCGGTTCCGGGTCGGCCCACAAATTTTGGACTACAACCCAGGCCCGCCCGTTGACCCATCCAGGTTGAGCCCATGCGGGTCGCGGTTTGTTCCGATTTGGCCTGTAGTATTGTATACATAAAATTAC